CCCACATCCCTCATCCCACATCCCGCGTCCCGCATCCCTCATCCCACATCCCTCATCCCGCATCCCTCATCCCACATCCCTCATCCCACATCCCACAGCCTGTATCCCGCATCCCTTATCCCACATCCCTCATCCCACATCCCGCGTCCCGCATCCCTCATCCCACATCCCTCATCCCGCATCCCTCATCCCACATCCCTCATCCCACATCCCACAGCCTGTATCCCGCATCCCTTATCCCACATCCCTCATCCCACATCCCGCATCCCACATCCCGCATCCCTCATCCCACATCCTGCAGCCTGCATCCCGTGTCCCGCATCCCGCGTCCCACATCCCTCATCCCACATCCCGCATCCCTTATGCCACATCCCACATCCCACATCCCGCATCCCACATCCCGCATCCCGCATCCCGCAGCCTGCATCCCTCATCCCACATCCCTCATCCCACATCCCACAGCCTGCATCCCTTATCCCACATCCCACATCCCACATCCCGCATCCCACATCCCACATCCCGCATCCCACATCCCGCATCCCGCATCCCGCAGCCTGCATCCCTCATCCCACATCCCTCATCCCACATCCCACAGCCTGCATCCCTTATCCCACATCCCACATCCCGCGTCCCGCACCCCTCATCCCACATCCCACATCCCGCAGCCTGCATCCCTCATCCCACATCCCTCATCCCACATCCCTCATCCCACATCCCGCATCCCTCATCCCTCATCCCATATCCCGCAGCCTGCATCCCGCATCCCTCATCCCACATCCCGCAGTCTGTATCCCACATCCCTTATCCCACATCCCTCATCCCACATCCCGCAGCCTGCATCCCGCATCCCTTATCCCGCATCCCTTATCCCACATCTCTCATCCCTTATGCCACATCCCACATCCCTCGTCCCACATCCCGCAGCCTGCATCCCGCATCCCACGTCCCTCATCCCACATCCCGCAGCCTGCATCCCACATCCCGCATCCCGCAGCCTGTATCCCGCATCCCTTATCCCACATCCCTCATCCCACATCCCTCATCCCACATCCCACATCCCACATCCCTCATCCCACATCCCACATCCCTCATCCCACATCCCATATCCCACATCCCTTATCCCACATCCCGCGTCCCGCATCCCTTATCCCACATCCCTCATCCCACATCCCTCATCCCACATCCTGCATCCCTTATCCCACATCCCACATCCCTCATCCCTCATCCCACATCCCGCATCCCTTATCCCACATCCCGCATCCCTCATCCCACATCCCGCAGCCTGCATCCTGCATCCCGCATCCCACATCCCACATCCCTCATCCCACATCCCACAGCCTGCATCCCTCATCCCACATCCCACAGCCTGCATCCCGCATCCCACATCCCTCATCCCACATCCCGCAGCCTGCATCCCTCATCCCACATCCCGCAGCCTGCATCCCACATCCCTCATCCCACATCCCGCAGCCTGCAGCCTGCATCCCGTGTCCCGCATCCCGCATCCCTTATCCCACATCCCTCATCCCACATCCCGCATCCCGCATCCCTGCTCCGTCCCAGGGGTAACACCTCAGCAGGGAGGGGAGCTTTGGAGGGAAGGCAGTTTTGGGAGGGGAGGTGGTGGTGGGGGGGATGCAGAAGGCGCGCTGCCCTCTCCTTGCCCTGCGGTTTCACCTCTCCGTCCTGCTGCCGGAAAGACAAACAAGGCTCCAAGTCATAAAATTGCATTTCTCCTAACTCCTCCCCTGTTTGGGCTGCTTGCTCACGCAGCCACCCCCAGGGGCTGGAACAAAAATGTGTGGGTCGAGGCGGGGAGCGCTCCCATGGGCGCAGATCCCAAATCCCCTCCCGGCGGCGGGGGTGCCCACACCATCCTGCTCCCCAGGGAAGCTTCAGCTCAGCACAAATACAGAAGTGATTTTTTTCTCCCCCCATCTGTTCCTCATCAGCCTCGTACTCCGGGGTGGTGGTGGTGGGGGGGATAAAAAGAAAAAAGATTTTTAAAAAAAGAAAAAATATTTTAAAAAAGAAAAAAGATTTTAAAAAAAGAAAAAAGATTTTTAAAAAAGGAAAAAAAAAAGTGTGTGTCTGCACGGGAGCGTGTCTTTGTGCCAGGCTCTGTGCGGGGCTGACAGAGGAGGCATTGTTCACGGGCTGCTGTTCACAGCCTTGGCAGCCAGAGAAGGTGGGGATGGGTGGCCGCGCATATGGAATGGGCCAGGGGGGGACAAACTCCTAGAGCTGCCCCAACTACCCCGGGGTGGGGTGGGGTGGGGGGAGTTTTTGGAGCTTCTCCTGCCAGCTGCTGCACAACGCCGGCGGGGTCCGGCGCCGGGAGTCCTTGTTGATTGAAGGTAAGGGATTTATCTTTACGGTAGCCTGGTAGCCACGGCCGCTATTTTGGTTATTAATTGAAGTATGGGTGGTAGGACCCCGGGGAGAAGTTGTGGAGCCCACCGTGGTCCTGTGGAGAACGGGGCTCCGTGGTGGCATTGTGCTGCAGCTGGGGGGGTGTTGAAGTTTGTCTGCTCCCCTTTATGTGGGCTTAATTCGCGTTACTAGGAATGAGAAAATCTGTGTGTGTTCCCATCACAGGAAGAAAATGCCGTTTAGTTTCATTCTGCAGCTCTCTTTTTACGCCAGAAGCTATTACATATATGCAATATTAAGTGGATTTTGCTAATAGAAATACATTAACATATAGCCATTAGGCAAGGTAAATACTTCTTCCTATTACCAGAGACAGTTCCTCCCCGCTGCAGGGAGTCCCTGGGCTAGGAAATACCCTGCACAGTGGTAAAAAATTAACATTTGTTCCGCGCACCTCAGCAGAAAGAAAAATCATTGTTGCATTTATTTTTTTGGTCTCTTTGTGGTAACAAAGCTTACACAGACTGTGCTAAAAAGATCTTACGTTGTTGTGCAGATATTTCTCCTGTGTGCTTGCTACTTCAGTGAAATTTTTGGTGTTTTTTTTAAATTACTATTATCTTCTAGTTTTAAAGCGAAGGCATATTTTGTCTGAGCCCTTTTCTGGCTCTTTTGCTGTTCTTATCGCTGTCCATTCCTTGTAATTGTTAACTATGTTTCTGAGAGTGTGTACTGCTATTTGGGGATGATAACCAACGTGGTCTCAGAAGTGCCTGCCTTGGTGCTGCGGCTGTTTGGTCATTTTGTGTGCCCACATTTTGGGGTGAATGGGCTCAGCTGCGGCAGGGACCCCCCGACACAACTCCGGGTCTGGGGCTCTTAATGTCACAAGTGGCATTTGAAAGATACTGGGGCTCTCTACAACTCCCTGAAAGGAGGGTGTAGAGAGGTGGGGGTCAGTCTCTTCTCCCAAGTCACAGGCGACAGGACGAGAGGAAATGGCCTCAAGTTGCGCCAGGGGAGGTTCAGGCTGGATATTAGGGAAAATTCTTTCCCCAAAAGGGTTCTCAGCCATTGGAATGGGCTGCCCAGGGAGGTGGTTGAGGCCCCATCCCTGGAGGTGTTCAAAAGACAGGTTGATGTGTTTTTTTGTTTTTTTTTGTACTCCCCCCCCCCCCCCCCCCCCCCTAAATGTTTGGGGGGGAGGAGAGCATCATTTGTGCACTGCAGGGCTTTCCTCTCCCCTGCCAGCCCGGCACTTGTTCGTTGTGTGTCGTTTGGGAGCACACAGCTCCTGTACCTCCTGCTCGCCCCACGGCTCGCCGCAGCCCCGGAGGACACACGCTGCTTTTGTGCTCTTGTTGGGTTTCTGATCCTTAGGGAGCAACTGTTTCCAAGAACAAACACATTGCCTTACAGAGGAGAAACTCTGGAAAACATCCTGTTAGTGACAGTGGCAGCTGCTGCCCGTCCTGCTGGGTGTCCCTCTGCCAAAAGCGGCGGGGCTCTGCCTGCCGGCCAGCCGAAGGCAGGGGATGCAGCCCTGTGGCTGCGAGGTGCCCGGGGACAGGGAGCAAGGATGGGAAGGATGGAGGGAAGGATGTTTCACTCAAAACTTGGCACCCACATTTATCCCAAACCCTCCACCGGGAGGGTTGCGGCATCCCCTTTGTGTCACCCCCCAACCCCAGCCCATGTGCAGCCCCTCGGGATGCTCCGTGGTGGCACCGGGCAGGAGGGTAATGAGCCTCCACGCTCCCCCCACGGAGGCTTTCCCCAGGGGGAAAACGCCAGAGGGATGATGCTGGACCACACATCCTGCTGTTGGGGCATCAGCATCATACACAGTGACCTTCTTATCAGGGAGACACGTTCCAGGCAACACCTGCTACAGTAAAGAAGGACATTTTAAAGTTATAATAGGCATATTTAGGCTAGTTTTGTTGCTTTTTTAATTTATCAAATGAGATAGATCTGTGAGAGAGAAGTGAGACCCTAGAGAGTGAGACCTCTTGAATTACCTTCTTGCACCTGTCAGGGATCAGCAAGTGTGGAAATCCCAACTCAAAGCTTGTCTACACCAGCAAAAAAATGGGACCAGAATAATTAAAGGAGTTGCAATTCATACCTATTTTTCAGTGGATGCTTTACTATGGGCAGTCTTGTCAGGAAATAAAAATATATATGGATAAATATGGTTTTGCATTAAATCAAAATTGGTCGTGTATCATTGTGAATACACTGGCTTACACTGGTGGAGAGCCTGTTACTTTATTTTTACTGCTGTGCTTTAACTGACAAACGCAAAGTTTCATTTGCTGTTAGTTTAAGAAAGTGGAGCAATTGCATCTCCCACACATAAAATTATCCCCCTTAAAGTTCCTTGGCTGCATGTTGCGTGCTGCATTTATACAGTGACTTTTACAACCCATTTCCTCCGGAGTATTTGACACTAGGCAGCCCGGGTCAATTTAAAATAGATATCTTTTGCTTACACAGTCAACTTTCATCTATTGTATATGTTTCTGTAAACAAAAAGATGCAGCAGAGTCCGTGGTGGATGTAAGCACGGGCAGGGCCTTGGCGGTAACGTCTCCTTAACCTGTGCTTCATCATTTTTTTTTCAGCACAGAAGCTTTTGCTTCCTCACTGGGAGAGCCTGTATGAAGACCTGGGTGGATGGTGGTGTAAGGTAAGGAATAACCCACGCTGAAAGCCCAGTTTTGTAAGCTCTTCTTCCTACTTTTGCATGGAGGTCTCGGGTGAGAAGTTGCTTCACTCTGCATCTGATTTCTTCTCAGAAGGGTTTGCATATGGTGGTCCTTCATTGCTCAGCAGTGACAAATATGTGAGCAAAATTGTTTGCTGTGTAGGTGACAATATGTCTTAAATGGCGGTCAATTTCGGTGTTGTGTGAAGTGTTATACGTGTGCTCTTTCTCTCCTGTGAGCCTCAAACCATCCTCTTGAGGAAAGGATCGTGCTGTGTGTCCACTGTACCTCGTGGTGCAGCCGGTCCCAGTGCAGCATCACTTGTAGTCTTTTATTCAATTTGGAAGTGTTAAATTAAAACAGGGGAGTCACGAGTGTTTTCTGGCTCCCAGAAATGGCGCTTTGTGGCCTTCCACTGCCAGCTTTAGTGTCGCCTTTCCATCTCCACTTCACTTCTCTCTTCTCCTGCTGGGTTGCAGCCCCCATCATCTCTGCACCACTTCTGACATGGTGCTCTCAAGGCTTTTGTCTGCAGGCAGGCTGATGAGAGCTGGGGTTGTTCAGCCTGGAGAAGAGAAGGCTCCGGGGAGACCTCATAGCAGCCTTCCAGTATCTGAAGGGGCTACAGGAGAGCTGGGGAGGGACTCTTTGTCAGGGAGTGCAGGGACAGGACAAGGGGTAACAGTTTTAAATTGGAAGAGGGGAGATTGAGATGAGACACCAGAAAGAAATTCATTGCTGTGAGGGTGGTGAGACACTGGAACAGGTTGCCCAGAGAAGCTGTGGCTGCCCCATCCCTGGAGGGGTTCAAGGCCAGGCTGGATGGGGCTTGGAGCAACCTGGTCTGGTGGGAGGTGTCCCTGCCCAGGGCAGGGGGGTTGGGACTCGATGATCTTTAAGGTCCTTTCCAACCATTCTATGATTCTATGATGTTCAGCAAACAACATCATCCTTACCTCCTCTCCCAGGACCTCCTTCTGTTGGTTTTCCTCTACCTCATGCCCCAAGTGAACAAATAAACAGTCAATGAATGAAGAATCTCTTTGAAATACCATGGCTGGAAATTGTGTAGCTCTTCCAGTTTGGGGGCCTAAAAGAGAGGCTTTTGTGCAGTGCTAGGCAGATTGCACAGCCTGCATGGGTATTAGAAAGTCCAGCAGTGTTAGTATAGCATAGCTGTGCTGCTTGTTTCCTTAATCTGCTTGTTTAGAGACACCCGGAATTCATCTTAATCATCTGTTTCCGCTGCACAGTAGGTACAGGAGGAAATACCACAGAGAGCCTTATCACTGGGAAAACGCATCATTTGAATGTGCAATGTAAATATTTTAACTAACCAAATGTAAATACTGTTTTGACTTTAGGATGGGAAAAGACTGTCACCGTCAAAAATGAGCTGACATAAGAGTGACCCGGTATAGATGAGATACAAAATTGTGTTCACACATTTTGGTAATCAAAACAGAGCCCTTAACGAATTGCCTAGTGTGAAAGGAATTACAAACACAAATGTGCCTGACACAAGGCGATCGGAAGTCACTGCTGTATTAACGTCAGAAGGAAGGACTTTCAGGATTCATGGAGATCTGAGATCCGTGGGAGGGATGACATGAAATGAGGAGAGATGTGAGATGATGAGAGCCAGAGAGAGGCCGGAGACTCTGGAGGAGAGTCTAAACCATAAGTAGGCCCTGAATATCTGCTCCGTGCCTCTGGCTATGACTTCTGTTCACTCTGCCAGGACAGTTAATTCAAAAATTTCCAAGGGTTAGAAGGTGGTAGAAGCAACAAAGATACTAGATACAGCAAGAAGCACCTTCATTCACAGACGTGCTGTGGGTTTTTCAGTTGGTGGATTCAAAGGAAAGCAGAGTTCTTAGGGATCTTCAAGCAGTTGCTTGGCCTACACTGGCTTCATAAGGGCTTGAAGGCTTATGGTCAAGTGGTACTTGATAGAAACCAAACATGGAATTTAACTTTTTGTGCTGAATATGGTCCTGAAAAATGGTGCTATAGCACAGGCTACAGAATCCTCCAGATACTATGATTCTATGAACATAAAGATCCTACATGGTTTTTGGGCATTCATCAGATCCCTAAGCAGAATAAACACCTGGAGATTATTCCATTGGCTGTATGTTCTAGCCTACAGATTGGTAATATCAGAAGAAGAAGAAAAAACACAGTGGATTTGACTACACTCTGTGGATTGCAAGAAACTAGTTACATCTTATTTCTGTAGGCACAGGTCTATGTAAATGCCCAAGCAAGTAAGCTTTCATTACTGGAATAGCTGGGGGATTTTTAAAGTTGATTTTTGCTTGTATAACCAACAATGGGTAATATATTAACATCTGCCTCACATTTGTTATTTCTTTGTTCTAACAGCTGGAAATTTACATTTACACGTAGGCCTCAGAGCTAAAAATGTCATTCCCTCAGTTAAAAAGCCATACTGATTTTTGTCATTCTCCTTGTTAGGAAAGGAGAACTGGAAACACAGGGGAAACACAAATGGGAAGGGTAGCCCCCAGATGGTAAATGCTTTCAGTGAGAGCACACTTTAATCATATATAGTATAGCCTAAGATTGTCATTGTCTGCCATTACTACAGCCATTTAGCTGTAGCCAAATGACCAAATCTATTAAGAATAAAAATTTTCCAAAGACAGTAGAAGAAACCAAATACTTAGGTCATCAGTGAAGAGAAAAATACAATAGCATTTTTTCAGCACAGAGGAAATTAAGAGCCTTTTTTCATGTAGATGAGAAGTGTTTTGCATAGATGAGAATAATTTTGATGTTATCCTTGAAGAAAAGTTCTGTTGCTAGAAAATCAATCGTTTTATGCAATAACTTCATGTACCTATTCTCTCGAATGTAGATAACCTGAATCTTCTTAACTCCCAGACAGATGTATGAATTTGCATGGGAAAGCATGAATGCATTCAAGAGTAAGAATTTCATTTTTTCCCTTTAGGAGCAGGAAGCTCATATACTTTTTGCTAAAGTGCTGTATTGTGTGTTTTGGTTTGCCCTTGGTTGGGATTTTTTTCAAAAAAAGAAAAAGGGATCTAAAATGGCTTGGTTTGGCACAGGAGAAAAGGTAGGACAGATTACTTTGTAGTGCTAAATTCATAGTGTCATTTTTCTAAAAGAGAATAGCATTATTTGAAGAAGGGGTTTAGATGGCTGATGAGAGATAGGGAATTTAAGAGGAGGGAAGAGAAGTGCAGTTGAAAAATGTTTGGAATGACAGTGTAAACTTCAGGGAGAAAGGGAATTAGATAAAAGAATCTGTGAGAGTGGGAATAATAATGTGAAGGGGAACAGACTGTGCTGGTGAGATCTTTTGGCCTCGGTTTTGAAAAGAATTCAGAATATGATCTGCAATCTCTGTCTTTGTTTGGGAGAGGGAATGGGAGTTTTTCCATTTATGGTAAAGTGGAGTAATAATGTCATTCCCTCAGCTGTTAAAATATTTTAAAATCTCCTTAAAACTGATTATTTATTGCAACGTCAAATTGTAGACCTTTGTGGTCAGAAGACAGAGAGAAACTGGAATCTATCCCAAAAAGTGGGGTGAAACCGTAATTTATGTTTCCCTGTGAGGGGATGGGGCCACTAGTCCAGCCCTGCTCATTCTTGCTCAGTTCGGTGAGGGACTGGGTTTTAGGAAGGCTCTTTGGATACAGCTGTAAGTCAACAAATCTCAAGGTTCAAATCCGCAATGGGAACTTGGAAGCCTCCATCAAAGCCAGGGATAAATAGGATGCATATTTTGAGTCCAAAAGTGCCCTCTGAGGGTGGCTTTGCAAAGCACTTGAGGATGGTGGCATCCCAAGCATCCCTGGCGTACACTTGGGAACTGACCTGTGTACAGCTGTGTTTCTGTGGAAGGCAGAGAGGCTACACAGGAGCTCCCATGGCTACAGCTGCTTCAGAAGCTGCTTTTTCGTCGTGGTACGGAGTGATCTTTGCCTACTCAAGTCATTTCACGATAACACAGTCTTCGAATTCATACCTACATATCACCAATTCCAGATGAACAGCAATTACTTTCAGCGTTAGATAAATCTGTCCGTGAGATGAATTTATACTTGTGCTGTCGTGGACTGTCAGTAGCCTTAGACAATCCACTGTCATCAGGCTAACTTGGTTTCTTTGTTCTGCTCTTATGGCACACCCAATTCCATTTCAGTGTATGTCAATTAAGGAGAGTATGCTCTAATAATATGTTACATTTACACAGCACCTCTCATCCCCGAGTACTTTATAAATCATGTATATTCAACACCACTGACCTTTCCAGTCCCTCAAGAGCAGGAGAGCAACTGTTTTACAAAAGCAATACAAACCGTAGGAATTTTTTCCCTGTAAACCAGAGAACCTATTAATTACAGAATGAATTTTGTGTTCCCTAAGCTACAGCTTCACTTTGTAAAGACCTTTATTGAAAATGTTCTCAAGATAAGATGCACGATGCTACATTTTGTGTACACCATGAACAAAGAGCTAATCCGTCTTTCCAAGATTGGGCCCCTGGAAACATTTCACTCTTGCCTCTAAATGTGCAGAAAAGTACCACTACCTCTGTACTTTGGCTGTCATTTTATCTGTAAATTGTCACCTTTTCCTGCAGGATCTGCCCCAAACCCCCCCTGAACTGCTGAGGATCCTCCCATCTCAGCGTGAGAGGTACAGCAAAATAGGTAGATAGATAGCAAAATTAAATAGAAAAAATATTTAAGTGCTTTCGAGGGATTCAAATGTAGCTGATCTGCTGGGGTACCACGCTGAAGAAATTCAGCATAGCGATGTACTAGGCCAGCAGATGCAGGGGAGAGATGAGCAAGGCCAGAGGAACGAGGAGGAGGAGGAGGATGGCGACGCGTTAATCTTCCTGGCATTCGGTGCCCTTTCCTGTAAACATGAAGAGAACGATCCAAATCCTCCTGGGATCAGTTCTAACCTGTCTGTC